TCAGCACATTGTGGCCGTGTTCATAGTTGATGTTATTGGGCGTTGGCTTTTTCTTTTTTTATAATCAATGCTTCCATTATTTTTAGATATTTTTACATGTGTATCAGGCTGTTATAGTTATATTTTCTACAAGTATAATGCGGATGGAGTTTAGTAGGCTTCTTTGTGTGTGATATGTTATAAATTCAGCGAAAGTGCTTTACTATTTACCAGTAGCTACATACAATAATTTAAAGTTTTAAAGTTTACTATATATATATATATATATATATATATATATATATATATATATATTTGCTCGATATGACGGATATAGTATATATAAATATAAAAACGGGCATTGAGGTCAACACTCAGCAGTGACAGTCTGTTTCATGTTTAAACGCAATCGTCAGGCCATGTGCGTTGTGTTTTAGATCGACTATTTATATATGCTGGTAAGTGATACATTATGGGTTGATCTAATGTATTATTCTAACGGTAGTTGGGTCGGCGGTAACGCTTATGTTTTAAGTTATTCTAGTGACTATTGAGTGGAAATAATTGTGGATCCGAATACAGTTTTGTGGATGTTTTATAGTGTTGTACGTTAACTCTGTTATTGACCGCTTTGTTATTTGTTTTTTTATTGTTATCATTACGTTTACTTGTGTTTATGCATGAATTCGTAATTTGGGAATTTGTTTATTATTTACATAAGATCTATCCCTGATATTGAGCAACTCATAAATATAGCATACCTTACAACTACATTTTTATTATATATATATATATATATATATATATATATATATATATATATATATATATATATATATATATCAGACTACTCCGGTGGTCGGGGTTGTCGGGCTTAGACCGAGTGAGTCAATATTCAAGTATATCTAATTCAAAGCAAAAAAAAAAAAAAAATCGCAGTGTGTCGTTTTCATACTTGGCTTCAGCTGGTTCCAAAATTAATTGTTTTAACTCTGTTCCTCAAAATATTGACTGAAATACATTTCGTTGATATTCTTCAAAATAAAGAAAGAAAGAAAAAAAAACAAAGAAAGGAAGTTAAAAAAGAATTAAATAAAATTAACTAGTCGGGCTACGTAGATCTGAGTCCTATATATATATAGAGATATTTAATAGGCAATGTATTTCTTGCTTTAATTTTAAAAATAATCTTTTAAAAATCTCTAATGACTTGTAATCCCTGTTTTTCAAAGAACACATTTTTATTTTAACTTATTCTTTTCAAATGTCCATTTTAAATAATGTATTCCGTACAGTATAAGGTTTTTAGCGCAATATATGAATTGAAAAAGGCCAAATTAAATTTAGCACGGCATAAAGTCAACGAAAATCAAAGTGGCAGCCTTAACTCATCGACTGAAGAGTTACAGTTAGGAGTGTGACTGGGATAGTGTTGAGGAAATATGATATCAGCAGGCAGTTCTGATCAAAAACGTAAAATTCACAGACAGAGAGATACATAAACACACTAACGTATACACATATATACAAACACAAACTCGAGATAAATACACACGTTATTTTTTAAAAAATATATATATATGGCTTTGTCTTCACTCTTTTTTCTTACATGTCTGGAAATTTTTTTTAAATAAATGTTTATTTTTACAGAATTATTACAATTAATATTAAAATACCAAAATGTGTTTTTTTTTATTTCATGCACAGAGATTTTTAAAAATGGTTTAATTTTGTTACAGTAAAGAAATCATCTTAGCATCTAAGTTATACCAATAGTATAATATAATAGTATTTTCTTAAAGATTGTAATGAGCCCGACAAATAATGATGACCTGGAGTCGCCACTGATATATATATATATATATATATATATATATATATATATATATATATATAGAGAGAGAGAAAGAGAGAGACTGAGAGATAAAATATATTTTGGCAGCAACATTTCATTTAATCAATTTTGTTATATCAACTGACAGAGTTTGTATGTTTGATGTTTTATTGCATTTTCCATTTTCGAATAGGATGTGTATCCAAATCAAAATCGTAGATAAGCTGTTCAATATTGCTGTTTCTATTCAAGTACTATTAACCGATAATAACTATCAAGAACTGAATGTTGTCACAAGATTGTGATGTGTACATCTGCATATTTTTGGAATGCTAAGAATCAAATTTGATGCTGTTACCACCTGACGAGTGCACCGAACGTTTGCAAAAAAGATTCGTCTACGAAACTCTGGAGTTGGGGTGCTGAATGTGACATCAATCAGGTAACTGACAATTTTTATATTTGCATTAATCATATATATATATATATATATATATATATATATATATATATATATTATTACATTACAATGAATCATACCTATAAAAAGTAAATTAGTAAAGTAATGATATAAAATGGCGAAATCGCTTCGCATTAACCTAATAATCACTCGATGAATAATATGATCCTTGTTTTTGTTTTTTTTTAAATTATAAACTTTTGACAATTTTTGTTGTAGGAGTTTATATGTCAATGTGGCATGAACTAAATAGTTCAATAAGTAGAGTCATGCTTGAAGATGATTGAATGTACAGTCGAAAGTACTTGCGTATTTAAGAAAGACCTTATACAGCTTATAATTTAAAAAAACAAGGAGCATAACATTCATGGAGTGATTAGTAGGTTAATGCATCTTTAAAATTTTGTTAGCGTAGGGAATTCGCCATTTTATATCATTAACTTTACTCATTTACTTTTTGTATGATTCGTTGTAATGTAATATAAATTGAACTACCCGCATATTTGATATATATATATATATATATATATATATATATATATATATATATATATATATATATATATATATAACAAAAGAAAAATCAAAACCTTTTTCTTTACCAACGCATTTCATCCTCTGCTGGACTTTATCAAGTTAAATATAAGGATTTTATTTTGCAACACGAGTATTTCTCAAGCCCACATACATGATCATATAAATTTATAAAAATTTAAAGTAAACGGTTAAGTCAAAACCTGTTTAAAATAAATAAGTACATAGATAATTTATCAAATTAAAATAAAATAATAATTACGTTAATAAAAAATAAAAAATAATTAAATATATATATATATACTCTCCCGTCGAGTTCGACATATGAGAGTCAAGCAGATCAGTTCCCAGGAAACCGACAGCCCGACACCGGCACATGAGATTTGATTATAGTGGTGAAGGCTTCGTGCAGGACCAACCACACTTTTTGAATTATATATATATATATATATATATATATATATATATATATATATATATATATATATATATAGATAGATAGATAGATAGATAGATATTACATGAATCATTCATACAAAAGCAGACATAGAAGTTAATGATTTAAATGGCGAGAATACATCTTCGCAAACAAATTTAATAAAGTACATTAACCCCGAACCTGTATATGAATGTCATGATCCCTGTTTATAAATTCCTCTTGCATAAGGTCTTTTTTTAGTTTTTTACAAGCTTTCGTCTATTCATGCAGATATCATCAAGTATGGAAATAGATTTGTTTTTGTTTTTTACTTCTCGCTAATAACAGGACAACGAAAATATAGATGTAATCCGAAAAATGTTTTTAGAAATGTGTTATTGTTAATTGTAAGAAATTTTTTTGTATGGTGCGGTCGCAACGCTGAGGTTGAATTTTTAAATTTTAAGATTGTGTGTTTTTATACTAATATGGTAATAGGAGAATTCTTTTGTACTGGTAGGTATTTCAGTCAATGTGGCATGAACTAAATTGTTCAATAAATACAGGAATTGAACTGCACCACATACTTGATATATATATATATATATATATATATATATATATATATATAAACAAATACGAAAATAAAACAATGACACAATTTACGACATTGAGCTTTTTTTCATCCAGAAATATAGGGTGTTTTAAGCAATATGGATTACTGTCTTTATTTGGTTTGCCCCGAAAGTTCGTTTGTGTGTTTTCTTTAAATATTATTCAAAGTGCTTAGTTTTAATAAACTTCATTCGCTTGTAATTGTCATATCTGCGTGTATCATTTTATATTTTTAGTATTGGCCAACTTATTTTATTCCTTCTGAACTGAGGATTGAGAAAAATAAGTCATATTTTCATCAAATTAGTTTGCACTGTTCTCTCAAATCGTTACAATTGAGTAATGAATGCAATCCTCTCTAAGTCTTCAACACTTTTGGATTTGGGACCAAACTACGCTAAGCTGAGTAATAATTGATTGACATTTGCTAAGAATCTTTGCGAACTTTGTGATCTGAAAGGAAGATCAAATTCTTGTAGCTTAAATCTCTATCTCGTATTTTGTTCATAATTAGGCAACTGATTAACAAAAACTGTAATATTCTTGGCAAAGTGGGGGAGAGATTTTCAAAAAATTAAATTATAAGAAAGAAGGAAACTCTGAAAACTCTAAAAGAAAGAAACAAACTATGAAGAAAAGAAAGAAAGAAAGAAAGAAACAAACAAACAAACTATGAAGAAAAGAAAGAAAGTAACAAACAAACAAACATACAACCTCTGGAGTAAAACAAACAAACAAATTAATAGCCTGGATTAAAACAAACAAAAACTCTGGAGTAAAAGAAAGAAAGAAAGAAAGAAAAAAAGAAAGAAAGAAACTATGGAGTAAAAGAAAGAAAGAAACAAACAAACGACCTCTGAATTAAAAGTAAGAAAGAAAGAAACTCTGGAATAAAAGAAAGAAAGAAACAACCTCTGGAGTAAAAAAGAAAAAGAAGCAAACAAATAAGCTCTGGCTTAAAAGAAAGAAAGAAAGAAAGAAAGAAAGAAAGAAAGAAAGAAAGAAAGAAAGAAAGAAATTATCTCCAATCAATATGCATGGAATTTCCTGAATCTTTAACAATACGCACACACACTCGTTCGCACTTGTACATAGAGAAAACAAAAAAGAAACACAAAATATTATAGACAAAAACAAAAAATATGAACCGTTCTACTGACCATCTCTGTCGTAATGATTCCAAACATCCATAAATTGTGAAGCCTTTATCTTTTTGAAATCTCCAGTTGACAAATCTCTATATTGTCTTAAGAAATTAGCGCATGTATTAATACTTCTGTTACTAGTGCTGCCAATTGTACTGAAGTTCTTGTTCGCCATCCCGATATTGTTTCTGCAAGTTCCTGTTCCGTTTTGGGGTCGTCTGCTTTTTTGGAGAACGTGTTTTTGCTGCTGCCTTCAGAATAACTGAATCTTTCTCTGATTGTGTGTTTTTTTTAAAGTTTTATTTCGTTTTCGCCACTGTTAAATAATAGTTACAGTTTCTTTTCTTTCTTTTTAAATGGGCGGGCGACCCTAAAGGTCGTTTGTTATTTATATCCTTTTTTGCTAGCACACGTATGTTTTTCAGAACTCCAACAAGATCAACGCATTGGCTAGAAATGAGTCTCTCTTGCTGGATTGGTTGTTGTTGTTGTTGTTGTTGTTGTTGTTGTTAAACCGGTAATGACTGTTGTGGGAGGGGAGTAGTTTTGTGTTACTCTCTCTTGGATGTTACCTGGGGTAGAAGAGAGAGCGATGGTGGGTGGTTAGGTCGATAGGCAATGGCTGTCACAGTAACCAACAGCTGCAAACGGAGTGATCAAGAGAGATAGAGAGTGCTTGAAGGTGATTGGAGCAATGGTTTAAATGGCATTGATTAGTTAATCAGAAGTAGATATCCTCCTAGCGAAATGATTGTGCATACTTACGTGAGTGGCATACGATGGAAAGAGATTACGACATAAGGGTTTGCACGCGGCGCTTGTCTCGCTACATTAATTACGACTGAATAGTGACTTATCCTCACTGAGTGCTCCATACTTTCGGCCTTGTGCCGCACATAACCTACGTTTATTAAATCGCTATAAGCGTTTGCCCGTGTGTATTAAGCACTTTCCCCATATGTCTAGATTTTATGACAATTCTAATCATCCCTTTTTAAAATAATAAACAATGCCGAGGAGTGAAGGTAGTTAAAATAATAGCGGTGTCAAGGGAAAACCCGTCTTTTTGCCATACCGTTTGGAACAAAGGTTTAAAATTGTCGCGTTAAATATTTATCCAATATATAAATTACATTTTCTGTGTTTGAGCACATATACGTTCCTTTGAAATATAAATAAAATAATAATAATAACAATGATTATTATTATTATTATTATGTGTACTGTGTTCTTTCAGGGCGTGGCTGATCATGGCGCTTTACAATATCTTATCCCTTGTAATAAAAAAAGAGAATGCAGAAAATAAAAAAGTAAAATAAGTGTTATGGTAATTTACCCACGCACGCATGGATTCTCCCAGCTATAAATAGGAGCAGGTACTGCTTTTTGGAGAGGGAAGTTTCCAGAAGTCAGCTCTGACAGTCGGGGCGAACATTCTTAATGTAATACTCTCATTTATATATGTTTGTATTACTGTTTCTGTTAATATATTTGTTTAACTCAATTCTTCTCTTTGTGTCTTTATTTCTGACCTTAATAAGGCTACCACAAAAAGACAAACGATCTTCAAGATCTTTTTTCAATCATTTCACCTCAAGCAAAGCAATAAAGCCACCAAGATGCAAGGAGTTACTGAGTGGGAGATAATATGGAGAAAGAAAACATTAAGGAGATGGAATAATAAAAGAACAGGAATGAAGAAAATAGAAGATAACATGACATTGCATTTAAAATTTTGAAGATCAAAGTTGACCTGAAAGCAAGAAGCCGAAAGAGAGTCCCACAAGCGAGAAGTGCGATAGAAGAGACTGTTAGCATCGAACTTAGTTACAACTAGTCCTAGCCGTCAATCTAGTACAATCTAGTACCCCCAAAAATAGATGTATATTCAGAATCGCTAGGTCATAAAGTCATAGTTCAACCAACCAATTAGAAACCACGTGACCATTATTGTCATCCCTCCTGCCACACATTCCGCCATCTATTTATACTAACTCATCAAGTAGGTTGTCTGCTGTCTTCCCTTGTCGAAGTGAGTGCCAAATTCGCCGAGCCCTAATTTTTCTTAAATATAGTATTTGAAACATATGCCCACCGGCTGTTGAGTGCTTGCTTCTTAAGAAAGTCATTGCGTCCGATACTCATCGAGTGTTCAACTACAAAAGTCTTGTACCAAACAGATGTCTGCCCGAGAGTGAGATCTTAGCAAGATATTATCAGAGATAATTGCGAATGTAGTGGGTTCGATCCTTACTGAATGCACAACTGCTAAGGCAGTATCCCAGGCGAAGCTGAACTGTGGAAAAGTTTTAATAATAATAATAATAAATGACCTGATGCTACACCAGGTATGGCTCCCACGATTTCTGCTCTTAATTAACTGGAGCCGTTACCATATACTTGTTTTGTCTTGGTGAATTCAGATGGGCTGCAGTAGTACTGTTTTTGTCTTGGTGAATTCAGATGGGCTGCAGTAGTACTGTTTTTGTCTTGGTGAATTCAGATGGGCTGCAGTAGTACTGTTCACTAGTACAGATTTGCTTGACTGACGCCTGACTTTAACGAGTTGGACGTGTTCGCTAAGGGCTGAAGCATTGTGCATTTCCGTTCATGAGCGGAAGTAGTGGAGGAGCATCAATTTCAGTCGGGTGTAGAGAGTTTTATTAGGTTGGTGCAAAAATAATGTTGTTTTTTGACGTTCAACTTAACATCAAAAAACGACATTATTTTTGCACCAACCTAATATTTTTTTTTAAAACTGGGAGGATGAGGTAGGCAATGCGACTTGGGATTCACATCGAAATATTTGTAAATACCTTTCATTTAGAGACCGTTTGAGTGGGGTAAGGTTATCTCACCTGAAGGTACCTCTAAGACCCTTCTGTAAGTTTATGGAACAGCGAACAGTGAGGCATGTGCCGGATATACCCTGATCTGACTGGGTGTCACGATAAGTATATTGGGTTTCGAATAACTGCATCCCGCATGTGCAAGTTGTGTGTCGAAATATTCGTAGTTCGATCCTTGAAGTTGATGGTCGAGATAACCGTATTTCATTATCTGTCAGGCCACATTTTCCTCTGGTTACCGCCTTTACCACTCCACAGGTAAGTACGGGAGTTGACATCCGACTCTCTTGGCCGCTATTTCTCAGATGATGATCTTTCAATTTTGGCGCTTCGGCGTCTCTTTGTGGTCACGTGATCTGCCAGGTGGTTGACATGCATGAAATCATAGATCTCATCACACAGTAATGCCGCTGCTGTGGTGTGGGAAAGTTCGCCCACACACTTTAACCACACGTCTTAAATACGGACTTAAACAAAGCGAACATAGTGTTCTGATCGCAAGACAAGACAGACCGGAACTGAGTCAGCTGAAGCCGAAAACTGGACTTTTTTTTTTGCTAGGAAGAAATACCAGCATGCATTTGTGTGCTTCTGCCTATAAATTGGGTAGGAGCAAGTGTTTTGCAACCATTCTAATTAGGTTGTAATCAATACTGTTTTTAACAAAATATGTCAGGATATCGCAGCCGTTTGGCTGGGTTGTATGTGCCCGGTATACAATCAAACTGGGTGTCATGGTGGGTATATTGGGTTTCATATATTTGTACCCCAGCCTCGCTTTGTTGATGTACCTTATAACCCCTTTCATAACGTCGCAAGCCTCTCAATGCTCTATCGCTATTTCCATGGAAAGTTTTCAGTCGAACAACATTCCTTAGTTTCACTAGGTCTAAACTTCACGGCTAAGACCCGCCATGCTACGCGCAGTGTAACAAACCCACCTCTTTCCCTTCGTATTCCGTTTGTGAGAGATGTAAGTTCCACTCGAACAGCTTCTTCTAGGGAACCGCTGCACTGTTGAACCGACTCCCAAGTGGGAGACTACAATCTTAACCTGTTCAAGTTTAGGATTAACCATTATCTTCCTCTCATATCCGCATAATCTGTGCCTCTTACTCTCTAGCTCGAGTAGCTCTCTGGCCTTGTACAGGGTGAACATCACCGTAAAAAAAGAAGGAAAATCATCGATTTAGCAGTAACAGGGAATATAAGGATAGTTGAGAAAAAAGATGAGGGAAAGGTGTTATGATATGTAATATGATATGTTATATAGGGAAAGGTGTTATATAGATACGACAGGTGTTATGATATTTATGATATGTTGTGCCGTGGATGGCACCAGTTTAAATGAAGATGCTCGGGTCTGGATAGACATGTGATTATTTACAAAAACTGGAGGGACTGTACGTGGGATTTCGAAAGGGACAGTTAACTACAGTGGTGGACCGGGTCTAAATATATCGATTGCCAGGTGTTATATAGGAATAAAGTGTCGCTGCCGACACTTGATTTTGAACATAGATCGCCAGTGAGCAAACACAGAATTTAGAAACGATATTGTATATTCATATATTCTTCTAGTTGCTAACGACATTTTGTTTTTTGTTTATAGATACTTTGTTTCAATAAATTCATTTCGTTTTTTGCCTTGAAAAAGTCCACATTAGACGAAACGCGTCGGCTAAAACAAGAGTTTTCCTATTGTCTTTTTTCTTAAGACATATTGTATTTTTCTACAGATTAATTCTGAGAAATATCTATTTATTTTATATAGAGGAGACCCACTTGCTATCGAGCCACTGATTAACTAGCCGGAAATATTCGGCAGCTAGAGGGAGTATTTAGTTCAGTACATGTATAAGACATTGTGCTAATACAACAAAAGGTATTCAGATTTAAGATACGAGAATAAGATTTAGGATACGAGAATAAGATTCTAAGATACGAGAATAAGATTTAAGACACGAAAATAAGATTTTAAGATACGAAAATAAGATTTAAGATACGAGAATAAGACTTAAGATACGAGAATAAGATATGTGTGTGGTGAAGGCAACCATAGAACTACTCCACTATAAAGTGATGGCGAATCTCACATACGTGCAGTTGATGAATTGCTTTCAATAAAGCTTTATTGCAAAATTAAAGGTTCGTCTGTTTTCTTTAGAGCATGCCTTCGGTGGATTGATAAAGTACA